TGTGGGGGGGGGGGGAGGCTCAACAAATAAACGGCTCTATCACTTCCAAGACTGAACAAAATTACTATGTCGCTCTGCAAACACACGGGGGAAGTTCTAGACATTAAATGGAATGCACAGAATAACACACAAACCTCACACATACATGGCACATAACTCACTCAGGATTGGACTCATCAAGATACTCTAGTCAAAGCAGTCAAGCAAAGTTAAGATCATACAATTTAAGGTACTTATAAAAGAGTCAAAAACTGAGCCTAAGCATCACAACCAAAGTACTCACTATTCTCAAGTGTGTGTGTGTGTGTGTGTGTGTGTGTGTGTATTTCTGGTTCAACAAAGAAACGGCTCTATCACTTGTAAGACTGAACAAAATTACTATGTCGCTTTGCAAACACACGGGGCAAGTTCTAGACATTAAATGGAATGCACAGAATAACACACAAACCTCACACACACATGGCACATAACTCACTCAGGATTGGACTCATCAAGACACTCTAGTCAAAGCAGCTAAGCAAAGTTAAAATCATACAATTTAAGGTACTTATACAAGAGTCAAAACCTGAGCCTAAGCGTCACAACCAAAGTACTCACTATTCTCAAGGCATAACAAAGTCAAGAGATATTGCTTCAATTCCAATCACAGCACAATGACTCCTACTCCTAAAAAATAAAACTAACTACACCCGATTCAAACAAAATTCTTGGAAAAGAACCACGGCACAAAGAGAAACCAAGAGGTAATTACTACACTACCTACAAAGAAAATCTTTTTGTCCTTTTTCTTTCGACTTAAATCCCTCAAGAAACCTGTCGAATGAGATCCATTGTCAGGAAAAGTCTAATTTTTCTACCTTTTTCGTTTTTTTCCCCCGATTTTTCTTAGGGCCTACTAAAATACTACTCAACTATGAAAACAAAAATAAGAAGCTAAAATCAAAATAAGAAGTTAACATTTTTCTAACATACTACTACTAATTATCTAGAGAAATTCTCTCACTCCACACTTAAAGGAGTGCAGTGTCCCCAATGCACAAATAAAATAAAACAATAACGAGGGTGGACAAGAAACTCTCTGAAAGGCCAAAAGACGAAGCAATAACGGCTCACGGGTACTCAGACTTCCCCCAGGTATGATCCTTTGTGT